AAAGAAAACCTGGTGTCTTTCTCTGCCTGCAGTTCCTGAAGCAGATGTATGTTCTGGTTCTGGGTCTGGACGTGCTGGGAAATCCATTTGGGCTGATCCGAGGTCTGTCTGAGGGGGTGGAGGCCTTCTTCTACGAGCCCTTCCAGGTAACTCCTTCTGAACTACACTTTTTTCTGATAATTACCAGGAAAGATTCTGATGTCAGTCTTATCTTTGGATCATGAGCTGCGAAACTGACAGGCAGGAGAATCCAGATGAAATAAAAGTGGTTTGTGTTTGTCAGGGAGCCGTTCAGGGTCCGGAGGAGTTTGCTGAAGGTTTTGTGATCGGTGTCCGCAGCCTGTTGGGCCACACAGTCGGTAAGAAAGCCAGAGGCATGATGGATGTGCAGTGACTGATTTAATGCCAACCGGGACAGATGATGACCACTGCGATCAGTATTATTAGCGAGCTGATTCCTCCTGCAGGTGGCGCCGCAGGCATGGTTTCCAAGATCACGGGATCGGTTGGTAAAGGTCTGGCAGCCATCACGATGGATAAAGAGTACCAACAGAAGCGACGTGAGGAGATGAACCGACCACCCAAAGACTTTGGAGAAAGTCTGGCTAAAGGAGGAAAAGGACTGCTGAAGGTACAGAGTGACAGAGTTCAGAGGTTTGTGTGTCCTGATGTGAGCCCGTTGCAGTTCGATAACAGTTCTTGTTTCTGCAGGGAGTCGTGGGAGGAGTAACCGGCATCGTCACCAAACCTGTGGAGGGTACGTGCTCCTCTGCTGTGAAACCCACACTGCTGCTGCAAACACTCAGTTTGGGGGTGAAGGGAAAAGAAGAGAGCAGAGAGACTTTGATTGATGGAGACAAAGTGTTACCATGAATGTTGAACCCAGCTTTATCCAGTATGCCCACATGTGTTCTGTAAATATATGCAAATTGGTGCAAATCTACAGCAGATACGAACTTTGAGCTTTCACATAGTGATGTTTACTAGTTACATTTTGACCATATTCACCTGTAGTGTCTCCATCTGAAGGAAAACAGAAAAGTTCTTTGTAGCAGAGTGCAGTACTGTGAGTGATGATGAAATTCAACACCCAGACTAACCTGAATTAGATCAGATCCCCTTTCTGTCAGAGAAATGCAAGAAAACCCAAAACTGCAAATGTAGACTCTGCAGAGGATCAGAGCAGTTACTCTGTCGTTCTCTGTAGGAGCGAAGAAGGAGGGAGCAGCAGGTTTCTTTAAGGGGATCGGTAAAGGTCTGGTGGGGGTGGTTGCTCGGCCGACAGGCGGCATCGTGGACATGGCCAGCAGCACCTTCCAGGGCATCCAGAGGTATTTGCTTCGAGCTTCCGTCCGTGTCCAGTTTTTATTTTCACTCTTCAGTCTG